GTCAGGAGGACCCGGGGCTCGAACCTGCAACCCTCCGGTTGCCGAACGGTAGCACTACCTCCTGCACCACCATGCCCTTTATGATGCTGATGGGGATGTATCTGGATTGCCTTTCACCTTTGCGTTGTTCATCAAATTACCATGCACATATAATTTGAATACACAGTAATGCGGCTGTTTAGAATGTGAATAGCGATCATCAGGTGAGAGCGGTACTACACGCCCTTGGTGCAGGTAAAACAAAGTAAGGTGACATGGTTTAATTTTTTGCTGATTTAATCTAATTTTAAAAACTTTAATACTTCCAACAATGGACGTTTTGAAGAAAAGACAGGTTACCGATTTAGTCAGCGTTTTTTCCATGTTTATGCAAAAAGATTTCAGCGAGTTAAGAACTGAAATACACGAGAAAGATATGTGGCATCACCGACGATGCCCTCGTCCCCAGTGGGTTACGATAGGAAGCAGCGAGTAGTTATTAGAGGCACAATGTCATAGTGGGCCTACATTCATAGTGGGGTAAAGCAGGATTCACTTTTAGGACCAATCCTAATTTACATTAATGTCAATATACTGTACAAATGGTTGAATTTGCAGATGACACCAAGGTGGGTGGTATAGCAGATACTGAACTAGCGGAACAGACGCTACAGCGGGATCTTGACTTAATTAGTGACTAGGCTGGTACCTGGCAGATGAAATTTAATGTAGGCAAATGTAAGGTAATTCATGCAGAAATATAAACCACAGATATTTTATGGATTCCACTGAAACAAAGGTAGCTGATTATGAGAAAGACCTTAGTGTGTATGTTGATGCTTCCATGTCCCACTCTCGTCAGTGTGGGGAAGCAATTAAAAAGGCCAAGAGGATGTTGTGTTACATCTCTAGGTGTATGGAGTTTAAGTCAAGGGAGGTGATGCTAAGATTATACAATTCCTTGGTAAGACCCCACCTAGAATATTGTGTGTAGGTTTGGTCACCTTACATTAAAAAGGACATTGCTGCCTTAGGGTTCAATGTAGGGCTACAAGAATGATTCCTGGTCTTAGACGAATGTCTTATGAGGAGTGGTTAGATGAGCTGAATCTGTTTATCCTTGAGCAAAGGAGACTAAGGGGGGTCATGATCCAGGTATATAAGATTCTAACAGGTCTGGATGCTTCAATTTTAGTTTAGGCCATAGGTGCAACTTCGCAGGAGAACATTTTGAACTGGATTTGAGAAAGCACTTTACACAGCGTATATTTAGAGTATGGGATTCCCTTGGGTTCCTTTAAATCAGAGCTAGATAAGATTTTTTATTGACTCTGAGCTATTAATTCAATGGCCTCCTTTCATTTGTAAATTTCTTATGCTCTTATGTAACACAGAGGGATTGTTTTCTGGGTGTTTTCTATGACTGCCTCCCATATTTTCGTAGATGGAAAGTGGAAACCCTAATTACACGTGTTTAGGACACCCGCTTGCATACGTTGTCTGGGATGGGCATATATGGTAGTCCATGTGCTGCATCCTGCCCCCTCCACACTTTGCACAAATATTAAATGCATGTTTTATAAATGATAAAATATCAAATTTATAAAAATTAATTACAAAATGTGGCAGAATATTTCATTATGGGGAATTATTTCATAATTTGTTGCTATATGTTGTATCCTATTACCTTAATATAGTGGTTCCCAAACTTTTTTGGACATCACAAATTTCTGGCGACCCCATAGACATTTTTTTTTATCAATTACCGATACAGATTCCGATACAAGAGCCCTTTTTACTTTGTTCTACTTTATATATAAATTTCTTAAACTAGTAAATACAGATGGAAAAATGTATGACAAAAAATATTTATTTAGGCTACTACAGACATACATAACGTACTGTTCCACCTCGTTTGTACGTCTTATTTTAAGCGTTTTTGAGGCATTTGCAGTTCAATATGAATATCTTCAAAACAAGTATACACAAGTGGTGAATGCTTAAAATTTTAACACAATTTTTGTCCCATTGGCATCAGCTCAGTTACACTTTCTTGCGACGGCAGCCCCTCTTGTATCACAAGCTGCAGCGAGTTCGCAAGACAGTCCAGGTTAGCGACTCCCAAATCATCCATTGCTTTTTTTTTGTCTCGCAGTTGCGTGCGCTTTGTTAAGTGGGATTGTCCATTAAACGCTATTCCCACCTCTCAAAACTTTATTTTACAAAGATTGCAAATCACTGTGCTACTGGTTTCTGTTAAAAGCATAAAATACTCCCAGATCGTCACGTCTTATCTTACGCTCCTCGTACTGCTAAGGGTATGCGCATGACGTCGCAGCAGGCGGAAGTCACTGTACTAGCTCACACACCCACTGAGTAGCAAAAAAGACTGAGGGTCAGCGTTAGCATTCGATTTGAATGCACAAAAAACACATGTAAAATGGGAAAAAGCTATCGTGCGATTGATTGTACAAATACATTTAGGAGCTATCTTTTTAGAGATTGCCAAAAACTAAATAAGTAAGTATAGGATGTGGATCGGTCACGCATGGCCAATACCCGATCTATCAAATAGGTCCGAATATCAGATCAGTGCATCTCTAATATTTAATATTTATGAACGTGTTTAAGGTTGTATGTGGTGTTTTAATCATAATTTTTAAAAGAATAATAATTAGTTGAAAAAAATTTTTATCAGTATTTTTTTAATCAATTACTAGACATTTCAGGGGATCCCAGGTTGAAAAATATTGCCTTAATACTTCCCAAGCCAGCACACATTTTTATATTGCTTTTTTCATCCATTTGTTTACACATACAGTTTCTTTAGGGTATTTATTTAGTTCTCCTTGGCCAACAGCATTAACGTTTTTCATGTTTTCACTGAAAATGTTCACTACATGAGGGTGAAGTCGGCTATGTGATATAACAAAACACGCTGTTATCTTGTATGACCTATCCAGGTAATAAGGTTGTAAAACCATACACTCCAGTAGACAAAATACTGATGCCTAATTCACTGGAGTCTACTGAAGCCACTGCCGACGTCTTCCTCATGATAAAGGTCTATCCAGATGGAGTGTTCACACAACATCTTTGTGGCCTGAATATAGGTAAGTCGAAGAGTTATACTGTATTACTGCGTTGTGTTGTGAACCTAAATTAAATTATATTATGCATCTGTTATTTTATAGTTCTTTGAATGGATTAATTTTAATATTATATTCATCAGTATTTAGATTATTTTACCATATAAGCCTGCTGTCAAGTAATATGTTTCTATATACAGTGATCCCCCGCTATATCGTGGTTCACCTATCTCGCCCCCACTATATCGCGGATTTTTCCCCGACGCGTCACAGTTCTCTGTGTATCGCGTACCTTGCTTGTGATCCGATTGTTTTCATTTTGTTTTAAGCCCTACGATGGCTCCGAAGTGTCCTGCATGTTCTAAGCCTTCTGATAGTAGTGAGCCTAAGCGCCAGCGCCATTCAGGAGAAGGTAAAACTCCTGGATATGCTTCAGGAAGGAAAGTGTTACGCGCAGTGATGGGCGGTTGCGCCGCTACATGTAGCGAAGCTGTTAGTTTAACTACATTTCCTAGTAGCTCGCCTGTAGCGTTGCTGATTTCTGAATCAAATAGCTTTCCAGTAGTTACGTTACTTTTTTGGTCAAGTAGCGACGTAGCGTCCACAAAAGCTACAATTTCCAAGGCATGTCTGAGAAAAGCAGAGGTTTCCTCTGCAGTATGATTTTGAAACACAACAATCAGACAGAAATAAAGCATGTTCATGCTCGACCTTCTACTCTGCTTCTACTGCCTGTCTATAGAAACAGGCATGCGTATGGCAGCGTCACGAGATCGATACTTCAGTTTCGATTTCTGTCCTGAATGCACTGCGTCTGTCTGTGTAAGCACTACTGCTCTCGATTGCTGCTCCCGGCTGTCACGTGACTCAGCGCAGTGGCAGGCAAGCAAACAGGCTCACTTGCACGCGCGCGCACACACACAGTGTAATATTTACAATAAAGTATTGAATTCACAATAATTAAACAGTAGAGATAGTTCGGGGTTTAATCACCAGATGGCATTTATTACACCCCTACTACTACAACCCACACACTCGCACTGCCTACCGTGGATTTCGCCCCGTTTACTCCTCATACACACGGTGGGTGCATACACACATACACGCACACTATGTACAACAATAAACAACGATTATACATGACATAACACACAGCACATATATAATCACACAGCGATTACTGAGAATTATGTACAAGCTGGCATCAGTCCAACATGCCGCGCTGCCTGCCGGTAGCTCCGCGCTACAGTATTTTATTTACTTATAGACAGGGCTGGACTGGCCATCTGGCGTACCGGGCAATGCCCGTTGGGCCGACGCACATTTTTGGGCCAGCCCGGGGCTGTCATAATTTACCCAAGAAAGTATAATCCAATGAAATCTCTCAGCCCTCCTCGACCCGCACCTCTATCCCCTTTTTAACCAAGGTTATCAAATTTTGCCATTTGAGCTGACCAGAGTCGGAGAGGAGTGGCTATGGACAAACCAAAAAAGCGCAAGGGGGGCGCAGAAAAGCTCAGAGACAAGAGGCAAAAATCCTTCAAGTGGATGCAGCAAAACCGATATGTTTGCCACCACAAGTTCTATTGCTGCAGCAGCTAGTGCAGGGCCGGAGGAGGAGGCAGAATTAGCGATTCGGTGAGATACGTCGGAAGAGGAGTGTAACTGTCGCTAAGACGGTTATTTTTTAATTACTTTTTTGTTAGTTTGATTTAATATAGAATGTATACTGTGATAAATGTATATCAGTACCCTCTGCTAACTATTTAATTGATCCGTGTTAACCTTTGATCATGTGACTGAATTGGGTAGGAGTGAATGCACTCTGGGAGATTCATGGAGTCGACTTGTGGGGAAGCTTGTCACTGCAGAACTGGTAATAACTCCTAAACATTTGGTCAGAAGGCACACACAGTAATTTCTGTTTATTGTATTTACTTGTTGTCTTGTGTTGGAAAGTTTGTTTATAATTGTGGTGATATATGAGCTGCTGTTTAGTGATAATATTGCGGATCTTTTAGGATGTTTGTAAGATTAAATGCAATGCAGGAAGTTAATGATATGTTTATTTATAGTTTTTCATGGTGTTGAGAAAAACAAAGACGGAATAACTTCAACATCAGTCGGGCGTATGTTTTCTGCACCAAATGAAGAACTTTGGGAGCTGTTATAGTGAAAAACGTTACCATTGATGGAAGTAAACCACGAAGTTCGCCCGCCATCATAGGAAGATTGGCGTTATGACGAGACTCCATAACTGTATGCCACGCTAAAGGACTGTTTACATTTATCGGAATTTACCTGACGTGACTTCGCGGACTGTAATCTATAGTGCTGTAGTTCTCGAGACCGGTCCCCAATTTTTTGTGGTCTCGGTGGGATGGGGAAAAAAAGAGAAAACAGCACATCCTCACAGAACAGTATCATTATTCATTACGCGCCTCAATTAAAATGCAACCAGTCAGATGCATCTACTTTAAAAACGTTACATTGTATGCATTTTCTCAATGGACACAGTGCTTCACAGTCCACACACTTCATACACATCGCATGGTAGCAAAGTCGGCAAAGAAATGTTCCAAAACGTCACCACGCGTCACCATGTCACATAGTACAAAATCCTCACGAGAGCAAGACGACTTGAGACAGACCGTGCAGCACAAACTGGAGCCGCCTCCGTGACGACACAACTTTGCCCTTATTGGCTGAAGATTTTAGTCA